TCTGCCCTATACAATAACAGATGGGACAAGTTCGTCGAGTGGAGACTAAGAAATTATTTAGACGTGGAGATAATGGTACCTTTAGTTGCCGAATTCTTGCTCTATCTCAGAAACGACAAGAAATTTCGACATGGCACTATCGCAGGCTATAGATCTGCCCTGGCATCAGTATTACAACATATCTATAGGTATCCACCCAGTATTGAATCGACTCATGAAGTCTTTTGTACTGGAAGACATTAAAACACCACGTATATTTCCCAAATGGGATCTATCTATAGTATTGTCAGCATTGATGAAACCACCTTATAAACCCATGGGTAGTGCGACAGGAAAAATGGTTTTCTCCTAGCCATGGCCACTGCAGCTTGCGTATCAGAATTACACGCTATTAACATTTCCACCGTAACTCATACCCAAGAATGGAAATCAGTGTCGTTCAGATCACTTCGGGATTTTATTGCCAAAAACCAGTCGTCAACCTTCGGCCCACTCGGACACAGGCAATATACGATACTAACCTTAAGTAAAAGTGTGGACTATCCGGACAGACTACTTTGTCCCATAAGAGCCTTGAAATACTTCATTACAGCTACACAACCCCACAGAAAGCAGAGAAAACGCCTTTTTATCTCTTGCAAACCCTCGTCAGAAAAGGACATAACCAAGCGGGATGGCTCAGTTTGGTGATTGTAGATAGCTACAGACTGGCACAAGTCTCCACTCCAACTTGGGGAAGCTGCAGGCCTCACGAGATCAGAGCCCTTGCATCAAGTCTAGCCACATGGAATACATGTTCTCAAACTTTTACTTACGAGACATACAGACCGATCTGGATGGACTATACACACTGGGACCCTTGGTGGCAGCCCAGGTGTGTGTGTGTGTGTGTGTGTGTGTGTGTGTGTGTGTGTGTGTGTGAGAGAGAGGAAGTCAGAATACCTCACAAACTCAGGGTAAGTTGACCTTTGTACTTAGTTTGCTATTGGATAGTAGACGAGTCAAGTGGCAACACTGAAATCATAGATTTAAAACATACAAGGGATATACGGTTTCTACATGATAATCTAGGATGTATGATGTACTACCACCGGAAGTTACGTCATGGGAGACCTCTAGTCCCGACTAACTTCAAAATATGTTAAATATCACTATCTAAAAGGGCATAACAGAAACTACGTCATAAGGTGATATGAAATCATAGATGACATATATCGCAAACGAGGTCATTGAATGACAACCGGAAGTGACGTCACAGGTGATGTCATCACCGGAAGATAACTATCACAATGATAACTATTGTTAGATATTTCAAACTCAGCTGCAATACATAGCCTTGAATTCCTCATACTGTTTAGAATCAAATGACAATACAAAGTATCTAGATGAAATCAAGGAGAGTAAATTATAGGTGTGAAAACGAACACTGCTTGAAAAACTGCCCTTCTTTGTAAACATATCAATGTTCAGACTTAGCATTTTCTCCTATTTTGAGCTATCCATTCGTCTATTCATTGCTTACATTAGTTCAACATTTTCAGACTATGCATGGGAAGGGAATCATAGGAAGAATTTGGGAATTAAAAAATTGTTTCCTTTCTGCTTAACGCCATGACTGATGCAAAATCATGCACAATGACAACGGTATTTATCAGAATTTCTGACTATTTCTCTTGGTTTCAATGAAAAATATAACAACAAATAACTACTCAGATTGTCAGAATGTTTCTGATTACTTACATGTCACCTTTATGTATATATGATCCCTGAATCAACGAAAGTCCCGTCATAAATTCCCGTGTTCTGTTGACAGTGAACATGCCATTTTGTAAAAGTCGGTCACTGGTAGTGATGTCATACGTCAACATTGTTGTATATATTTAGTAATTTCTTTGAGGTGAAAGTCCTTGAATGAAAGCACACACATCATTGTATCATGCTGTTTATAGTTTTAATTATGATGTAGATTTTTGCATATCTTTTATACATTTTTTCACACAATTTTTCACACAATTAATTTCACTATTGATATTTATCAATGTTCAATATGTATGAACCCTTGATAATCTCCTATTTATTTTAACATTATTTTCATAAGAAATTGATAAGTTTTACGTGTTGTATATTATATTTTTTTCCTGTAGACAAGCATTAGAAGAATGAAATGTAAATGTAACTGCAACACTCTCTTTGGAGTGTAATAGTCAATATTATAATTTCATATTTTCAGGTAGAGGAATAGCAGTTTCATTTTATTTTAAAACTATGACTGACTATATTACTTTAACAACATGGATAATTCTTTTTGTTAAAATATATGCACACATTTTTGGTCTTGGAATTGTTTTTTATGTTGTTATTGATTTTCAGAAAAGTGATCTCTTACATCTCGCAAGGTGCGCATTGGTCACAAACGATTTTTCGAATTTTTGCTCTCATTTTATGTTATATCATCAATGGGTTCACCCTTTTTTATCCCCCGCCGCGCGAAAGCGCGAAGCGGGGGATATAGTATTCACGACCGTCCGTACGTACGTACGTACGTACGTACGTACGTACGTCCGAAAGTCCGTCCGTACGTCCCACCTGTTTGTTGCCGCGATATCTCAAGAACTAAACACTGGATTGTCTTCATATTTGGAACTATGGTGTATATACAGACTCCGCAGACACCAGTCGGTTTTGGTGACCTTGACCCCATTTTCAAGGTCACAGCAGGCATATCTGCTTTTGGAGTTGGAAAACGGTGTTGCAGCGATATCTCAAGAACTAAACACTGGATTGTCTTCATATTTGGAACTATGGTGTATATACAGACTCCGCAGACACCAGTCGGTTTTGGTGACCTTGATCCCATTGTCAAGGTCACAGCAGACAAATCTGCTTTTAGAGTTGGAAAACGGTGTTGCCGCGATATCTCAAGAACTAAACACTGGATTGTCTTCATATTTGGAACTATGGTGTATATACAGACTCCGCAGACACCAGTCGGTTTTGGTGACCTTGATCCCATTTTCAAGGTCACAGCAGGCAAATCTGCTTTTGGAGTTAGAAAACGGTGTTGCCGCGATATCTCAAGAACTAAACACTGGATTGTCTTCATATTTGGAACTATGGTGTATATACATACACCGCAGACACCAGTCGGTTTTGGTGACCTTGACCCCATTGTCAAGGTCACAGCAGGCAAATCTGCTTTTGGAGTTAGAAAACGGTGTTGCCGCGATATCTCAAGAACTAAACACTGGATTGTCTTCATATTTGGAACTATGGTGTATATACAGACACCGCATACACCAGTCGGTTTTGGTGACCTTGACCCCATTGTCAAGGTCACAGCAGGCAAATCTGCTTTTGGAGTTAGAAAACGGTGTTCCCGCGATATCTCAAGAACTAATCGCTGGATTGTCTTCATATTTGGAACTATAGTGTATATACAGACACCGCATACACCTGTCAGATTTGGTGACCTTGACCCCATTTTCAAGGTCACAGCAGGCAAATCTGTTTTTGGAGTTGGAAAACGGTGTTGCCACAATATCTCAAGAACTAATCGCTGGATTGTCTTCATATTTGGTACTATGGTGTACAGGCGGGGGATATTTCGTCACTCTGTGACAAATACTTGTTAAATATTGCGATCACAGGATATTAAAGTGTTTACTTTATTTTCCAAGAAATGAAAAAAAGCTTTCTGTGCATCTTATAATTCTCAGACGAGATGAAGAGAAATAATCACATAATAATGAACAAGTATATGTCCAATATTGAATATAATTTTTTTTTTTTTTGAAAAATTCTTTAGGGTATTTGATTACATAAAATTGATGCCAAACAGGTGCGTGTCTTGTCCAATGAAGAGGCACGGTAAACTATCTAATATGTCTATTCAAGACATTATTTACATGGTAAAAGCAGTCATTTAATGTTGTGTTGAAAAAGCATCAAATTCCGTTATCAAGATTTTCCATACCATGAACGAAAATTAGGGGAGATACAATAAACTACTGCTAAGTATAGCAGAGTTATGCCCCTTTCTTTGTACACGTGTAACCTCTCTGTCTTTTGATCTCGTAGAGGAAAATCAGTTTTCGTCCTTTACGGCCGGCCTGTTCCTGTATTGAATGTATAACGTTATACATAAGCGTATAAATCCATTTCATGTAAATTTATGTCGTTCAGATATAACGCAGTATTCACTCATAGTTTCTGTAAAACAGTTCAATTTTTTCATTGAACCATACTTTTATCGGTGTACGATAGAAAGCCGAGAAATTTGCTGTTTTTTCAACGCAGAATAAATTCTCGGACAACACTTTGCAGTCTTTTTTTCAAACCAATGTAATATTTGCAGTTAATTTTACACCATGAGATAGGAAATTTAATATTCTACATCTCTGCATAATTTTATAGCCAGTGTGAGCACAATTTTCGAAAAACCTTCACTTTTCAGATCTTAGGAAAATGTGCGTCAGAAGAAACCTTGGCATCCCTTATCCACCAGTAACATTTGCCCATTTGAATTTTTGGCTTGGAAAAATAAATGAAAAGCACATTTTCATCACATGGCGATCCTTCTATCATGTGTCCAACAGACATAACCATAGCAACTGCGGTTTTAAGGCATCTTCGGGTCATCTTCCCTTAATTGTCAGATAGTGGTTGACACTATTTCAAACATTTGAAAAGTTTGACAGCTGTTTGTTTTGACAGTTTGTCCGCTGTCACTCTAAACAGACATGGGGCGGTTGGGTAGCCTTGTAGTTAAAGCATTCGCTCCTCATGCCGAAGACCTGGATTTGATTTCCGACATGGGTACAATGTGTGAAGCCCATTTCTGGTGTCCCTGCTGTGATATTGCTGGAATATTGCTAAAAGCGGCATAAAACCATACTCCCTCACTCTAAACAGACATATTTTGTTGACTGGAAAATGGCTTATTTGATATGCAGTCAACATATAGTCAATATATAGTTAATATCAAGTATGATAATTTACAGGTGCTGACTTGGACATGAAGAAGCTATATTTGTCTGGTTTGGGACCCAAAGTGAGTCAAGCGGACATAGAGGAGGCCTTTCCAAAATCAGTGAACGTTGATATCATCAACTCCAAGACCGACAGACCTTCGTATGTATTTTTACATCTGACAGCGGTATCCTCCCAAAACTTGCAAAATTTGCCACAATTTTAGCTGTTTTAACTCATGTGACATTACCTTTTACAAGCTTGTTTAGTCACTTGATTAATTGATGTTCTTGTTGGATTGTGAGTTTGGAGCTTCACTTCTGAAGCTTCACAATCGCATCCTCAGACAGATTGTTCCATTGCAACAACTTAGGGTATTCGCAGGAGATCGACCTGTTGACCAAACCAGTTTGCATGAAGTCCCAATGCAGTATCCTTTGATGCTTAATTCACTTGAGTGTTGTTGTTTTAACAGGTAATAAAATAAAATTAAACTAGTGTTGAATTGTCATATATGATTCCGTATGGATTCCGTATGGATATGCGCCAACTGGTACTTCTACAATAATTACATCTACCAGGGGGTTTGTCAGCACCATGAACTATGCTCGTGGGTTTCAGACCTGTATCTCTTTGGGCTTTCCTCACAATTTTCGAACTCAGTCATGATAAGTATTTCAAAGATGAGTTTGCAAAGTTTCATTCATGTAACATCAGTAGTTTCTGAGAAAACTTGTCTCCGTTTCATGCAGTATGCACAAACTTGAAAAGCATTGAGCTAGAGCGATAAATCTGTTAGCATGAACTTGAGACACCAATATTCGAGCGAATATGACCTCTTGGCAGGTAGCATCAGTTTCTCTCACTTAAATATCTTCTGATGGACTAACTAACATTTTGCACTTGTGTTGGAGACACATGTCAGGTTGATAATTATCCCCCGCCCAACAAAGTTGGTGGGGTATATAGAAACGGGCTCCGTCCATCCATCCGTACTTCCATCCGTCCGTCACGTTTTGTTTCCGGAGCATAACTCAGAAACCGTTTAATATTGTTTCATGAAACTTTGCATGTCTGTCAGGTACATGCTGAACTGGTGCCTTTTGCTATTTAGAAATTTTTATTTTTTATGTTTCAATGGCAACAAGATGTACTTAGGTTCTGTGAGGGTAGGGTTCATTTTTGGAGCATAACTCATAAACCGTTCAATATTTTTTCATGAAACTCTGCATGTCTGTCAGGTACATGCTCAACTGGTGCCTTTTACTATTTAAAAATTTTGGAAATTTATATTTTTTTATTTTTCCATGACAACAAGTTGAACTTTTAGAAATTTATGAATTCTTCTTTTAAATGCCAAAAAATTCAACTTGATACCCATTTAACCTGTTTAAGGAATCTTATGAGTCATAAAAAAGTGTTTTTTTTGTGCCAACGTTTTGTGTTTGTCATCATTTGGAGGTATCTCCCATTGTAGGGGAAACTGTGCATGCCTTCTACCAAGTTGTCAGTATGTGCCTCAATAATGGTTGAGTGTAACTTTCGTTTAATGACTTCATTATCAAATCCATCATCCCTACTTCAGAATTGATTATGACAGAGATAAGTGTGCGATAAGATGGCATACTCAGGGTTTCAGATGGCCGTCGGTCACCGGTCATAGACCGATAAAATTTCTATTTGACCGATGGTTTGTTTAAGTTGTTGGACTTTTGACCGATAGAAATGCTAAGCAAGCCGTCACACGTGTCCTAATTTCATGATTAAATAGTAGGGATTATTCCACTCAGGGTATCGATTTCAATGCCCGATGAAATGCTCTCATAAAGTTTAGTGCCAATCGAGCGAATGTACAGTACACATATTGTCCTGTTTTCGATCCGAGCTTTCAGCATCATATACAGTGAGTGTTCTCTCGCTATTGCGCCCGTCAATAATAGCGCTTACTCGGTTATAGCGGGCGGTAAAGCATGGTCCCAAAATTTACTTATGTTTATAATAAACTCAAATTTTCCAATGACACGATGTTTTCCCCCCATCTAAAAAAAACATAATCAACTGATCACCGCGATCACGTAACACCGGAAACACCAGTCAACAAATCCGAACTGAAGTACGCAATTTATTCCTATTATTATAATATCTGGTTATAAAAAGGTGTTCATTGTTTATCTGGACTTATGTTTGCAATATATCTTATAGATTTTATTAAAAAATTTATTCAATAATTATAATAATTTTGGCGAAATCGTATGTGAAGTGATCGGTAGATCGCACAACTCACCGTTATTTACAGCAACCACGGTCAGATTACCGCTATTGACACCTTGAAACAAACTTTATTTGCAAGAGAATGGATACACATATCATAAATGCCATACCTTGACTCATTTAAAGTCATATTTGAGGCAATTTGACTATTAAATGTCAACATAACACTTTCGCAATCGAAATGGATGTAGCGCGGGAAGTCCCTTCGGTGACTGGTCAATTTGTTCAATACGTAAATAATTAGATCTAGCAATGTGAAATCTCCGCAAAAACGCTGAAAATCGCGTTTTTTAAAACAGTGGTCCTCGAAAAGAGTCATCTTCCTCGTAAAAATATAATCAAAGATTTAAAAAAATACTCCGAAAATATCGTGTTTTCGGAGAAACGTCGCGGATTGTCCTGTTTTTGGTCAGAACTTTCAGCATCAATTATGCCTTTATTATTATTCATGACACAATACTATTATCGTCGGATCATAGGTTTTCAGACATCATACGTTTTCAATCACGAATACTTGCACCATAACGGTAGGTGTCACACAGAAATTATAAATACTCAGATGATGGCTTGATTCTAAGATAAAGTTGTCCTTTATGAATAAGTGAATGAGAAGTTTTACACTTACAGTTGTTCATGTGATCAGCGAGAAAACTATGACTGTTTTATCAGTGTCCGAAAACCCATAACCCTGGATATGTGTTGAAATAATGTCATGTTTGCAATGTTTTTTTCAACAAAAGGTAAGTAAGTACAAGGCTATTTAAAAAAATATATATTTCAACATCGGGAAAGGTTAGACATTGCACGCTTGTGACAGTTGTCCTTGTGTCTGGGGGATGGGGGGGTGAAGTTGATGGCAGTATTGCTCCCAGACCGGCGGGTAGCTGGGTGTGCGGAAGCTATGCCCGATTTTTTAAAAGTAACTTCGAAATTTTACTGCATCTGGAATCTTTGTTTAAGTGACTTGTTGACTTTTGCCCCTGACTTATTTCATTTCTTGGGTCCAAGTCATTGACCTGTATACAGCTTTTTGTGTCAAAATCACTGCATACTTCTCTATGAAACTTTTTACAGTTTTCAGCACATGTTGATATGAAACTTTTGTGCCATAGAGTTTTAACATTCACATTTATAATATTGTTAAAAAGCCACAACATAAAATGTGTGTGGCACCCATGGCAGCCTACTTCCTCGCAGTGAGTGCCGGTAAAATGACTTGTAATGTTTTTTCTTTCTCCCACCAAAATGAATTCAGTAGTAAATGTAGTAACTGGTTTTTCATAGAAATTGTGCATTTTATTTTGTTTCCTTGGGATATTTTGCATTTACATCAAGTAGATGCTCCCCTGCTGCCTTTTACTCCTTACAAAAATTTGATTATTTTCAAATGTATGTGTTTGTGTGATCAAAATTCACTATTGTTGACATGACATACCGGTACACTTCATTTGCTGGGCAGGAGACTTGGCCACGTTAGTGCCAAACTCTTCTTTTTTCTACAATTTCCATGACAACAGGTTCCACCTGGGTTGAAAAAGGTTAGGGTTTGTTTAGATTTAATAATGTCATAAATTCTGCAACAGGGGCGGGGGATATACCCACATTAGTGGCAAACTCTTGTTATGATTTGCATATTCCAATGTGCAAGCTTCCTCTATATCTACAGGGCTCACATTTCGATAAGCCTACACTAACCCCTGGATCCATTCACATGGTTCTCACAATCTCAAACTACCCGCCTTTGATTTCCAATTGCCAAGTTGATTTGCTATGCTACTAGATCTACTGTACCAATCACATTGAGAGTTACACACCAGCCTCATTGTTGGGTTAGCCAGTCCCATTGATTATGATCGATTTGGGGAGAAATCCAATTTTGAAAAACTTGATTGACAGGCAAAAAAAGCCCTAAAAATATTTTTGATGGAAAGGATGTCTTCATATCTGAGTGCAAGACCTTAATATCTAGGTGCAAGACCTTCATATATTTCGTGTCTGCACCAAGGCCAATTATATATCCATGGTCATCGGACTTACTTACTATTGGAGATTCTGTATGCGCTTTCCGACATTTTGCATATTTCGCACACAGGCCCACGAGAGAGAGAATAATGTTTATTATAGTGTCACATGTTATATACACTTCATACTAAAACACGTACACAAACAATATAATATGACTTCCGACCAGGTATGGCCTATGAGACACTATGATCAGGATAAGATAAATTAAGACATACATGTATACCAAAACAATGTTTAACCCCTGGGTGCCAGAGGAACATCTATGTCCCTCCTCTTCAACCCTCACTTTGAAGTCGAATAAAATTAAAAATACATCACACACACAGATACACTTCACAGTTTTGAATTCTGTGGGATATTACCTGTTCTTTGATATCATCCACCGTCATTTTAGGCAATGACCTCTGAAAAATGTCGCATTTACACATTACTAAATGACCATTAACTGCGTTATTTACAGCATGTTTTGAAATCTAAATTTTGGATATTTACTTGGAGAAATTTATTTCATAAAAGCATATTAGTGATCATGGGTATCTGTCATTTATCAAATCACCAATGATCATTCAAAAACGTCTCAGATAACCCTAGAATCGTTTAGAATGTTTTGGAAAATACGCAAACATGAACATCGAAGTGGACTTTCCACCATATTGGATAGTGTTTAACAAATCACGTTTCGCGCATACCCGTTATGAGTTGCCTGTAACATCCTGAATATGTGAAACTCGATATGCGATACATACATCTGTGAATTCCTCATACATTATAGAATCAAATGACAAATGGTCTTTGTAACCAGTACAAAATGTTAATTTTTATATTTTTGTTTGTGCAGTGATCAACATAGCCTTTCACCTATTATT